CCCTGCTGCTGAACCCTCCAGGCCACCAGACCTTTCTATGTGCCCTGCTGCTGAACCCTCCAGGCCACCAGGCCTTTCTATGTGCCCTGCTGCTGAATCCTCCAGGCCACCAGACCTTTCTATGTGCCCTGCTGCTAAACCCTCTAGACCACCAGATCTTTCCATCTGCCCTGCTGCTGAACCCTCGAGACCACCAGACCTTTCTATGTGCCCTGCTGCTGAACCCTCCAGGCCACCAGGCCTTTCTATGTGCCCTGCTGCTGAACCCTCCAGGCCACCAGGCCTTTCTATGTGCCCTGCTGCTGAACCCTCCAGGCCACCAGACCTTTCCATGTGCCCTGCTGATGAACCCTCCAGACCACCAGATCTTTCCATCTGCCCTGCTGCTGAACCCTCCAGACCACCAGACCTTACCATCTGCCCTGCTGCTGAACCCTCCAGGCCACCAGGCCTTTCTATGTGCCCTGCTACTGAACCCTCCAGGCCACCAGACTTTTCTATGTGCCCTGCTGCTAAACCCTCTAGGCCACCAGATCTTTCCATCTGCCCTGCTGCTGAACCCTCCAGACCACCAGATCTTTCCATCTGCCCTGCTGCTGAACCCTCCAGGCCACCAGGCCTTTCTACGTGCCCTGCTGCTGAACCCTCCAGGCCACCAGGCCTTTCTACGTGCCCTGCTGCTGAACCCTCCAGACCACCAGACCTTACCATCTGCCCTGCTGCTGAACCCTCCAGGCCACCAGGCCTTTCTACGTGCCCTGCTGCTGAACCCTCCAGGCCACCAGGTCTTTCCATCTGCCCTGCTGCTAAATCCTCCTATAATCAGTTCAGATTCTCAATTAGAATGTGAACTTGTGAATCTGAAGGGAAGTTTTTTCCTTGGAGGAATCTAAATCTGCCTCTGGCAGCCTCCATCCATTGTTCATTCTCATCTTTTGGCCCAAGCAGAACAAATCTAATTGTGTGATGATGAGTGTTAATAATAACAGTAGCAACATCTTGTCCTAGAAAACCCCTGGATTTGGGGACCACTAGGCTGCCATAAGATGATAGCTCTTGAGCTAGTAGGGGTCCAACTCCTTTATTTTCTAGATGAGGAAACTGAGGCTTGAATAATACCCAAGGTCACACAGGTAATAAGTGACACAGCTGGATTTGAACTTATGACATATGAATCCAAACCTGTCACTCTTTCCACTGTGGTTTCCTTCCCTGACAAGACCTGGAGAGGATGTGGGTTTGAATCCAGACTCTGTTCTGCAGCAGCTGTGTTAGCCTGGGCCAGTAGCTTCCCTGTGCTTGGCCTCAGTTCCCTCATCTGTAAAATGTGGGGATTGCACTAGATAACCCACTCACTCATTCATCCAGCAAGCTCGGTTCTAGGATTAGAGATGGCTTTCCGTGTGAGGCATGAGTAAAAGAGAATCTTGCTGATAAGAAAAAGTAACTGTCCATCTGTAAACTCCACTGGGGTCTGTCTTTACAAAAACTGTGAAGTATGGGGCAATTAAGTGGTGCAGCGGATAGAGCATCTGCCCTGGAGTCAGGAAGACCTGAGTTCAAATCTGGCCTCAGACACATAACACTCACTAGCTGTGTGACTCTGGGCAAGTCACTTAACCCCAATTGCCTCACCAAAAACAAAAACTGTGAGGTTGATAGTACAAAGAGGGGCCCATTTGTAGGTTTAGGGAGAAAAAAAATCAACAACCAGAATCTTGGAGAATAAACCTCTTGTCCTTATCTTGTAGCACACCAGAGCTGGGATCAGAAACCAGCTCATTCTCCCTTCCTGTTGTTTCTAAGAGAAGAGAAGATGGCTATCTTTCTGGAATGATTTAAGGCTAGACTTGCAAAGAGGCAAGGAGGCCTCCCACACGTGGAATAATGTCTTGAGCCTCCCCTCCCCTCGATGTACTAGAATCTTAATGTCAGCTAAAATGTAGAGTAAGCTCCCTGTCCCTGGAGGTAGTCAAGCTAAAGCTGGAAGACAACCCGTCAGAGATGCTGCAGAGGCGATGCCTGCCTTGGGTGAGTGGCTGGCTTAGATGACCTTGGAGGTCCCTTCTAGCTCTGAGAGTCGACAGCTAAAAATATCATATCTGGGGACACACGGTGTAAATGGAAAATTGAGTGGGAGACACACATATGTCACCAAATGCTATAAGAATGAGGAGGAATCAGCTGGCAAGGAGGCTGGGAAAGGAAAAAAATAGCCTGTTGGGGGAATACCCCTATTATAGGATCACCACTTAATCTCAGAGTCACCCAGGGTTCCTCTTCTCTAGAGGAAATTTAAAAAATCAGAATGTCAGAGCTGAAAGAGCCCTGAGAACACAAATGTCAGAGCTGGGAGGGCCCTAAGAACCAAGAATGTCAGAGCTGGGAGGGCCCTTAGAACACAGAATGTCAGAGCTGAGAAATGCCTTAGAACACAGAATGTCAGAGCCGGTAGGGCCCTCAGAACAGAGAATGTCAATGCTGAGAGAGGCCTTAGAACACAAATGTCAGAGCTGGGAGGGCCTTTAGAACACAGGATGTCATTACTAATCTGTGTGACCCTGGGCAAGTCACTTAACCCCAACTGCCTCACAAAAAGCAATAAATAAATAAATAAAATAAAAAGAACACAGGATGTCAGAGCTGGGAGGGTCCTAAGAACACAGAGAGCTGAGACGGCCTTTAAAACACAGAATATCAGGGCTAGAAGGGGACTTAGAACACAGAAATGGGAGAAGCCTCAGAAATTTTCTAGTCCTATCCCCTTCATTTTGTAGATGAGGAAACTGGAGGCCCATGAGACAAGTAAGTGGCTGAAGATCTATCATGCCCCAGTCAAAATAACCTCAATCAGCTAAGAAGTGCTAATTAGTAGCTGGCTGGGTCCTAGATATCAGCATGGCCTGATGACCCTGTTCTTCTCAGCCACCCAACACCCACAACAATAGTCTCTGTTAGAGCTCTTCCTTTCACACAGATCTGAGAGCTTGTACCCATTTCACAAAGCAGAAAAGCTGAAGGTCAGAGAAGGGAAAGAACTTTTCCAGGGTCAGCAGAACAATGGTAGTACCTAACCTAGAATCCAGGCATCCAGTCACCAATACACAACAGGCTTCAGATTGGTTATTGCTAAGAAGCGGGAAGAGACAATACACAGACCTGGAGACCTGGGTCCTAGTTCCAACTCAACAATTTATTAGCCTAGGGAAATCAGACAAGTCATTTAACTTCTCTGACCATCTTCCTACCAGGTAACATGGCAGGACAGATAAAGTGCTGGTCTTAGACACAAGAAGGCTGGGGTTCAAATCCCATCTCAGATACTTCCTAGCTATGTGGCCACAATCTCTCCGAACCTCGGTTTCTTTATCTGTAAAGCCGAGATAACAACACCTGCAATACCCACATTACAGGATGACAGAGAGGATCAAATGAAATAATAGTATAAGAGCCTTGTAAATGTTAAATGGATATCCGTCAGTTATTGTTATTATTTCATCTTTTAACATGAAAAACTTGAGAGAAATCATCCCAAAGGTCTTTTTGCCATCTCCAACGTTCTATGTTTGCAGGATCCCCAGCTTGGACATTCTGTGATGCCATGGTATCAGACTTTGGGGGGCCTGCTGTGCCAGGACCTCCACCTCGGGCCTATGAAGAAGCACTTAGATGCCCAACTTGGTCTGTCCCCTTCTCCCCCCTAGGTCCAAGGCCTGGACAATGTGGGGCAGCTACCGGGAACCTGAGTGGACAAGGAGAAGAATGGAGTCTAGAAATAACCTCCAACTCTGGGTCCCGTCCCCCCATAGGCCACTGGAACCTCCTCCAGAAACTGTGGGGGTTGGGGCAGAGGCACCCAAAAAGTCCCCCTCCTCTAGCTCCTTATCCTAAGGATTCAGTAGGGGGATTTCTACTTGGTAGCTTCTGCTCTTACCTTTCTTCCCAACCTTTTTTTCTCTGCCTCTTCTTCCCTTTCTCTCTCATTCTCCTCAGCTCCTTTCCTCCCTCCCTCTGGTATCTCTCCCCATCCACAATACCCAATTGAGCCTCCTCTTTCCTTTCTGTCCTGACCCCTTCTTTGCCTCCCATCTCAAAATCTCTCTTGTCTCCTCTCCTCCCTAGCTCCATCTTCTTGTTTTCTCTGGCCGGACCCTTCCTCCTCCTCTGTCTTCATTCCGAGTCCTCTCTTCCCTTAGCCACAAGGGTCTTGCTCCTCCTTGCTCCAATCTGAGCCCACCTTTCCTCAGCTGCCTAAGTCATGCCTCCCTCTGTGAAAATAAAAAAAATTTAGGGTGCCTAAGTGGGGTGGGAGGAGATCCCATTCCATTTTCCATTCCTGGCTCTGACGACCCAGATCCAGAACCCTCCGAACCCAACCCAACCCGGAACTGAACCTAATCTAAACCAGCTGCTCTGAAATTCTCTAAACCAAACCCCGGTGTTTTGCTCTGAAGAGAACCCAACCCAAGCTCTAGAACACTGAAATACAATGCAATTGAAAGGCTCAAAAACCGGAGCTCAACCGTACTACTCTAATCTTGGAACTACAACCCAACTCTGCAAACTGGAACCCTCACAAGTGAGCCCAAGGCAGCTGTTATGGGACACTATGAACAAAACCAATTTGGCTCTAGAACGATCAAATTGAATGCTTAACGGGCTGTCTGGAAAGCTGATAACGAACCCAAACAAGCCGCGCTGGAACGCAGAAACGAACCCAATCCTGCAAATCTGAAATACATTTGCACAAATCGAACCTAATCTCGCAACTCTGGATCGCAGAAATCGAACCCAACCCGGCAGCTGAGAAAGGCTGAAATGGAACCCTGAACGGCCGCTCTGGAACGCTTTGCTCAGGATCTCCACCGGTCGCTCTAGAACACCCCGAAGTCAGCTCGTTCCAACCAAAGCGATTCACATCGAGCCGAACCGAGCCGACAGACCCCGACCTGCCCAGTTGGGCTCAGGCCCGCCCTTCGCCCCGGGAGCTCTGCCCTTACCATAGCTCTGCTCCTGACAGCTCTCCCTGGCCCTACTCCGCCTCCCTGTCGCCGGAGGGATCAGGGATGGCTCGCCGGGCGCGGAGCGGCAGCTGAAGCCCGAGCCGGAGCTGGAGCTGGAACCGAAGTGGGAGCACGACCAAGAGCGCGAGCCCGAGCCCGAGCCCGAGCCCGGGCTGGAGCGGGAGCCGGAGCCGGAGCCGGAGCCGGAGCGCGATCTGGAGCGCAAGCCCGATGGGGAGCAGGAGACGGAGCAGGAGCAGGAGCAGGAACGGGAGCAGAGCAGCCGTGCGCTCTGCGCTGTGCCTCCCCCTTTAGCAGAGCGGCGCGCTTCCCCCGGAGCAGGCAGCCCGAGCGGGGCGGAGCCGGCCAGCGGGCCTATGGCCAAGTGGTGTGGGGACGGGCCGGAGCCGAGCAGCCAATCATAGGGGCGGTGGGACGGACTTCCTCACCCCAGCCCTTAACCCTTTCGTGGTGACCTCTCGGGAGAGGCGGGGTGTGTGTGGGGGTGGGTACGTGGGAGAGGGAGGGGGCGGCTAAGGCTAGGGAAACAAGATGTGCGAGGCGAGGCTGCTGCCAGGCCCAACCCCAGGAGCTCGGGCTCCCCTCTGCCCCTTCGGCCTGGGATGGGCTCAATTGTGGGTCACGCAGGGGCGCCCCTCAGGAGCTCTGTGACCTTTGTCTGGGCTGGCGCCTGCTCTTTGAACGTGTGCAACCTGGGGCTCCGCGGAGGCCCGTGTGTGTGTGTGTGTGTGTGTGTGTGTGTGTGTGTGTGTGTGTGTGTGTGTGTGTGTGTGCATTTGTGTGGCTTGTATGTGTACACAAGTGAGTTTATGGGGTCATAAACAGTACAGCCGAATGGGACCTTAGGGATTATCCGATCCAACTCCCTCATTTTACAGAAGAAGGAAACTGAGGCCCAGAAATGGAAAGTGACTTGCGTAGGATCACGCAGCAAGTTAGTGGTAGAGCCCACACTACTTAAATACTCCAAGCATTGGTGCTTTTCTTGTGTATAGATTGAGCTGGCAAGGGCCTTGGAGACTGGCTGGTTCATTTTCTCCTATTATAAAGGAGGAATCGAGGCCAGAGAACTCAAAATACCGCGGTGTTACATAGCTAGTTAGTGCTGGAGACGGCAATTGAACCAAGGCCTCCGTTCCTCTTTCCTCTGCAACTGAAAAGTGTCACAGCTGACCTGCCAGCTCAACAACAACAACGGCAACAATAATAATAACCCACATTTACATAGCACTTTAAGGTTTGCAAAGCCCTTTGCAAATATTACTTCATGGTTGGTGCTATTATCACAGATGAGGAAAACTGAGGCAGACAGGGATTAAGTGACTTGCCCAAGATCACGTAACTAGTATCTGAGGCCAGATTTGAATTCAGCTCCTGACCCCAGGTCCAGCACTCTATCTGATGCATTGCCTGGCTGCCTGGATACTCAACCGTCTGTAGCCCTCGGAGGTAGCACTTCCCCACAACAGCCAAGTGAGATAGGGAGTATATGAATTATTATTCCCATTTCCTAGATTAGGAAAGTGAGGCTCAGAGAGGTAGTGGTTTGACCCAGATCACGTCCTTCCAGTAGTTGGTTGAGCAAGGACTTGAGCTTAGCTGCCTCGTCTTCCAGAGCAGCTAGTTTTCAGCTAGAATCCAGGTGGTTTCCTGAGCACCTGTCCATTTGTACCTCCACACTTACCTGTGAGTCTCAGGCATGGGGAAATGAAGGGGGAAGGGAGGGAAGGAAAGGAGACACAGCCTGAGCCCAAGATGGGGGGGGTCTTTTACCCCTAGAAACTCCAGCAGCAGATTTCTCCTCCTTGGGAAGGTGTTAGTATGAAAGGTTAGTATGGGGGCGGGGGCATGCTAGAGAAATAAACAAGGAATTGAGCACAGAGGGTAAGGCCCCATGTTAGACACTATGGTGGGGGGAAAAAAATTAGTCCAAGCTCCCATGTTCCTTAATCTAGTTGGGGAGAGAAAACATTAAGGTAAAAACTTACCTAGTTGCCCCCAATAACTGAGTGACCTTGGGTAAATCACCTACCCTTTCTCTGGGCCCCAGTTTCCCCATCTCACAGTTAACTAGATGATCTCGAAGTGGTCCTTTACCAGCTCTAACATTCTATATTAGAAAGCCCATTCCAGCTTTAAAATGCCATGGTCCAAGGTCTCTTCCAGCTTTGATGTTCCACTTTCTAAGATTTCCCGAAAATCTAACCTCTAGCATCCTAAGATCTTAGGATGCAGGTACTATGTCTTAAGTGCCAAATAAGAGGGACCATGGTATAGGAGCTCAGAGGAGGGATGAGAGCATTACTGGGGGGTTTAAATCCTGGATCTGGTAATTTACGAGCTACGTGAGCTTAGAAAAGTTGTTTTTCCTCTCTTTGCTTCAGTTTTCATCTGTGAAAGAAAGAGGTTGTATTAGATGATCCCAAAGATTTCTTGCAGTTCTAAATTGTTGCTCAAAATGGGACAGTGGGCTGGAGTGGTAAGCAGTGGCTTACTGGAGGAAGTGGGTCTTGAGCTGGGTCTTGAAGGGTGGCTAGGAAAAGAATTGGAAGAAATAGATCTGATCACCTGTAAGGGTGGGGCAGGGCTAGTCAGAGAAGGCTAGTGACTGAGCAGCCTACCTGAAAGTCCCATTGAAGGGGGAAGAAACTTGCAGGGAGAGGAAGAGGTCCCTTCCAACTCTAAATCAAAGATACTTTAATCTGATGACTTACTGCCCTGTTCTCTAAAGCAGCAAGCCTAGAAAGGGGAAGAGGAAAAGAATCAGAGAATCATATCTTTAAGCTAGAATGGACCTTAGGCCATTGAGTGGCCTCAGAGGCCATTGAGCCAAATATTAATTTTCCAGATGAGGAAAGTGGAAGGGCTTAACCAACTTACCCAAGACCACATAGTGTCTGAGGTAGGATTTGAACTCAGGTCTTCCAGACTACAAATTCAGAATTCTATGCCATCTAGCTGCCTTCCAGTGCTGGCACTGTGGGACATGCATACCATTCATCCACACCACCTCTGTGATCCAGTGATGCTGACCTCCCGGCTGTTCCTACAACAAGACATTCCATCTCCTAACCCTGGTCATATGTCCCTTATGCCTGGAATTATCTGCCTCCTTACCTCTGACTCCTGGCTTCCTTCAAGCCACAGCTAAAATCCCACCTGCTTTGAAAAGCCCTTCCTAATCCTCCTTAATTCTAGTGCCTTCTCTCTGTTGATTATCTCTAATGAATCCTTTCTATAGTTTGTGAATCATTGTTTCACGCTGTCTCTTCCATTAGACTGTAAACTCCTCGAGGGCAGGGGCTATCTCTTGCCTTTCTTTATATTTCCAGTACTTAGCACAATGCGTGGCACATAGCATGTTTATTGACTGGCTGACCGCCTCATCAAGGGATCGCCTCGTCATCAACCTGGTCTGGTTGTGAAAATAACACAAATGCACATTAATTATTATCAAAAAGATAACCAAGTCATATGAGTCACTGGATACATGAAGCTGATGCTAGAGATCCTTGTGTGATAGCCCCCAGATTCTCCTGGCCTCCCCACTCACAGCTCTAGTCTTTGATAATAGAATTTCAGAGGTGGAAGGGCCCATGGAAAATAAAATCTTTGAAAAGGAGGGAAAGATAGAAAAGTACAAATTTTTCTAGTAGTCTAGTAGCAAAGAGCAAATGTGGTGTCAGAGGACCCGGGTAGATTCTATGTTCGAACACAGAATATCAGAACTGGAAGGAATGCCTATAAGAAATAGAACGTTAGAGGAAACAGATCTTAGAACATAGCTTGTCAGAGCTGGAAAAGACCTTAAAACGTGTCAGCCCTAGGAGGGGCAATGGGAAATAGAATATTAGAGGAAAAAGATCTTTGAACATAAAATGTCCAAGCTAGCCCCCAGAGCATAGAGGTTTAGAGCTGGAAGGACATTTAGAAAATGTTTAGTCCAATCCATTCATTTCATATATTCGGAAACTGAGACTCAGAAACTTGCCCCAAGTCATGCCATTTGTAAATGTCAGGGCTGTGCCTAGAAGCCGTAATAGCATTATTATGTGACTCAGTTAATAAATAGCTATGTGACTTTGGATAAATACTTAACTTCTTTGGAAGATGCGTCTCAAATCCAATTCAATAAAAAAAAAATCTCTGTGCCTTCTCTAAGGGCCCACCCTAAATGCAGGTGATATACTGAGTCAACAAAGTATTTCAAAGAATTTCCAATCTGGTAATTAGAGGAATACATAAATAGACACGGTACAAAGTCTATGGTGATAGGGTTAAGAGAGACTGAGACTAAGTATTCTCTAGAAAATTTGAGGAGCAAGGGATTATTTCTCTTTCCACTAGTAGTGATGAGGAAAAGGAAGTAGGTTGTAGGTGTGAGGGATGACCTGTTGGGAGGTACGGAAGCAAATGAGGGCAGGACAAGATAGACTAGGTCAGGGGTAGGGAACCTGTGGCCTCGAGGTCACATGTGGCCCTCCAGGTCCTCAAGTGTGGTCCTTCACATATGACCTCGAGGCCGAAGGTTCCCTTCCTCTGGACTAGGTGCTAATCTGACTTGGCTGGAATACAGAGTGTGAGGAGAGGAAGAATGTGAAAGATGGATGGAAAGGTAGACTGAATTACTATGCAAGTGACTCCTGAATCTATACATCCAGCCCCAATCTTTGCCCCAAGATCTAAACCTGTATTTCTAACTTCCTACCAGATATTTCTCCCAGCACCTCAAACTCACTGTGTCCAAAACTGAAGTTATCATCTTCCACAAAACCTTGCCCTTCCTACCAACTTTCTGATTACACTTGATGTAACCGAGGCATCAAGCCTCCCTGTCACCCAGGCTCAAAATGTCTCGGACTCCTCCTTCTTCCTCATCTCCCGCATTCAATCACTCAGAGGCTCCTGTTGACTCTACCTTGGCAATGTCTCTTAATTCTATTCTTTCTCCCTCTGTGCCAGGGTCCTATGACCTCTGACACAGGCCCACCCCAGCTAATAGCAAAGGCCTGATCAGAGAAGATGGATCTTAGGTGTTCTTTATGCCTGTAGGCAGCACACCTTAGAGCCTGGTGCATGAGATGGTCCTCAGGGACACACACACACAACACAAGAGGAAATAAATACAGATAGACTAAAATTTCCAGAGACGCACTGCTATGATACAGAGAAATCTTTCCATGCTCTGTTGCTGTCCTTCCTGTCCACGCCCTTCAGCTACACAGCCCCACAGGCTTAGATCCTTGTTACTTCTCAAATGGACAAGCATAATAATACCACAATAAT